TTGATCTCTATGATAATTTTCAATGCTTATTTCAGAGCTTTACATGCTTAATGGTGTGGAACTAAATGCTTTTGCTTACCTTATTGCTGATTAAAGTTGGTCTTGAGAAAGTTGACAATCTTAATGAACAAAATCTTCCTATAAATTGGTATATGATACATGATCAAAAGTCCTTGTTTACAAGGCATAGAAAAAACTTTTTATGGACTTAACCCATCTGTAACACAATCCTTTTGAACTAAGAAATCTAAGTAAATTGTGGTGCAAGTAATCAACTTATCTAAAGACTAAAAAGACAATATGTTAAACAAAGATAACAATGGCACGCTCAGATCTCCCTTAGTTTTGATTGTGATCCTGAAGGCCTACTAAAAGTCCTACAAAGGCACCTTTCAAACTAACTCCAAACTCATGATGCAGAAAAACAAGCAACAAACCTTGCTTGATAGGCGAGACAAGGGGAGTTATGCGAGCGACATTCTAGCCCGAACAACAAGCTCTCTCTCTCTCTCTCTCTCTCGTTGTTTTGTCCTTGAACCTGTGCAAGGCTATACCATCAATAGGTCCTCACCCTCTACAACACCACCACAATCCTCACCCACTCCTTCAATCCCATCGAACCAAAACACCCCCAATCATGAATGACCAAAGACCGATGTCATTTTCCAATCTATCCGTTGGATTTGGAATGTAAAGAGGGCAAGAACAACATTTGATCTTTCAGGGCTTGAACCTTTTCAATGGACTATGTCAGCCAATAAATAAAGCTCCAACCCTACTGAAGCACAGCGCGCACACACACAATAGCACTTTAGTCAACATCAAAGCACATTTTCATAAGCAAGATGAATAGTGCCATTTTGGAACACTACGTTAGATTAAAGCAATCTAATAGAGTGGCAGTGGTCGAAGTTTATTTTTTGTACATTGTGTCACGCCCCGATCCTGACATACGTCCAGGATCGACACGTGACGTCACCAAATACTCGTCTCAAACATACCCCACCTCCGGAAAAAGGCAAAACATAACTTAAGATCCAACTGCGCAATAATTCTTCGTAGACTTTATGGCTGCATCTAACATCTTCGTTAGACTGCCTACGTACCCTAAATAGGGATCAAGCCATTAGTAGTTCAATTATCACAAAATTAGACGTTTATTCCACCAAGTTCAAGCAGAAAAGCAAAGCATTCCTCAATCATTTATTATAACCTGACATGTAATTCCTGGACTCAGGCTACACAACCAACCCCCATGAAAACATGATTTCTCTCCTATCCAACATATAAATCATTATGTCTCATCATGATGTCGCAATTCACAACATACATCTTATTTAAGAACCGACGAAACACAAAACCATTCTCTAGCTGCATTAATTAATTAATTTGATCAAAGTAATAACAATCATTCCCATATCTTCTAAATTCATACCTTATGAAATCATAATCGAATCATGGAAAATCCCGAAGGAGTCATTCAGACGTCCAACATCTTTTCTAACTCAAATCACAAGACTCTCGAAACCATTGACCCAAAAATATATATATAACTAAGGCTAGAGTGACACAGTTAGGCCAAGTCTACTTCTCCAAATAATGGGATTTTAGGCCACTCCACGAAATTCAACAACTCGGGTTCCAAACCATTCAACGGAACCAAACCAAATATGATCGCCTATAAAATGTACCAAGTACAACCAATTATCATCACATCTAGAATGCGTATGGTCCCCCATCACGGATACACCAAGCAGGACCATCCATGTACCTCTACTACGTGGTGCAATCTCATCATCACACATTAAACATAATTATACGCATACATTCTATCGATTCCACATATCAACCAGCATCTAGTCATATGGAGCACAACACAAGGAATTCCCTTAATTACTATTTCTACTAAAAAAATCTAATAAAGTACCTAACTCATCTCCTGACTTCTGTCTCCATCTCATGCTAGGTAGTTGTGCCAAGTTCAAATAGGTATTCAGTTGGCAAGCATATCCAAATAATTATCAAACAATATTTAGATCCCATAATTGTCATAACATTCATCATAATTATCAATCACATTATTAAAAAGATAATTAAACACATATATATCACAAACATCATTAGTACACAAGCCAAATCCTATTTAATAAGCATAGGTCTATGGCTAAATATATAAAAATCACATTTCAATAGAAATCATATTTATAAGACCAATTCATATTCACAATTGCTACTAATAAAAGAAATTAAGATAATAATCATATTTCATATATTCAAGTCGCTAACAAACCAATATAGGCCCACTAGATTTTCACTAGTAATTCCCTAAGGTCCGTAAACAATAACTACAATAGTATACTAACATTTGGTGTCAATTCAATGGTAAGATCGTCAATTGTTAGAATATTCAAGTGATGGACATTATCGAAAATATACTCAACCAACAGCATTTCATAAATCAAATGTTACATATCGGAAAATTCGACTTTTTCCAAAAATTCTCAAATTTCACAAGAATGAAGATCTCAACAAGTAGAGTAAACTTTATATCTGCAGCCAAGGCCAATTTGGCAGGAAAACACCCCAAACTGGCCACGAACTGCCGAAACCCTAAGGTGGGTGTTCTTCAATTCGACTTCCTCGGTGTTTCAACGCCCCTACAACCTGATGGGTCTTGTTCCTGGGTCCAAGGGGAGTTGATTAAGGGTGATGGTGCATGGTGATACTCACCAGAACGGCGAATTGCCGTCGAGAACCTCCGAGTTCTCCGGTATGGTTCTTCTCGAAATTGGCCTTAAAAACCCTTGAATTTGAGCAAATATGGTATATGAGAGGTTGTGGAATAAGTTGCAGGTGAAGGAGGGGTGAGAATGGCCTGAAAAATAGTGGAGATTGGCCGGAATTCGGCCAGGTTGAAATCGGGTTTGGTGGGTGCACCGGTTGACGAAATGGAAGGGAAAAAATCCCCCCCCTCCCCCCAAAAACACAAAAATAGCCGGTTCCTTAACCCCACTAAATAATTGGGCCTTTTACCCTCTAGTGGAAATTAAATAATTTTCACAATCTAAAGTTTCACAACTTCAATCGTCTATAATTATACCGTTATAATCTGGACTAGTAAACGGCTTTCGCCTATACGCTCGTAGCTTAGAAACCTATTCGAAAGCGTTACTTGTGACCTCGAAAGGTTGAGTAAATAATAATTTTCCAAACTTCACTCTTCGTAACTAGTTAAATTGAAATCTAATTTCAAATAAATCAATATAAATTCTCGAAAAATAATATAAAATCTCAATAATACAAATATGTAGATTATAACAGTTAAATCCGGGAACGGGATTTCACACATTGTTTAATTTTATGAATGAAAAAAGATTTTCAAAGTAGGAAGGGCCATCTATGTTATCAAGAAAAAAAAGGGCCATCTATCAATCTGTCACATATGCATAAACCATTTGGATCTCTTTAACCAAACAGGCGATCTGTATTGAACAAAATTTGTTAAAAAGTTCATTTTGATTTCCAAAAAAAAAAAAAAAAAAAAAAAAAAAAGAATTAGGAGACTCTAAAAATCCAAGCAAGTTTAAAAAAAAATAAAAAAAAAATAAAAACCTTGATGGTACGAGAGAAATTCTATTTGCAACGAAAAAAGAATTTACACCTAGTCAGGAAGACATAAACCTTACCCCTCATAATACAAAGAAAATGAGAAAAAGAACATGAAAAAGAAGGGGGGGGGACATAAACATTATCCTTCCAGAAACAAAAACACAAAAGATACAAGTAAAAAAGGATGGGACATGAAACCTAATCCCTTCAAAACCAAACCAAAAAGGTCTAAACCAAGCAAGTTAAACAAACTTATACTAACTCACTTAATGTAAAATACCAGCACGAACTAGACCACACATAATCGTACAGCAGACACTACCAACAACTGCAACATGAATTACGATAAGGACCAAGTCCTCTGCCCCCTCCTCCCTCTTTTGGCTATTGACTGCCTCATTCTCTTGCTAAATGTCTCTACAAACCATTCATGCTTCTTGTCTGCAAACGAATCCAACAATTAGACCACAAAAAACTCCTGGAAGAACCACATACCAATCAAACTTAAATGCAATTTCAGGGTCTTCATCTTCTTCAAAGACCGAAGGTGATGGCGGTGTTGAGCTCTCCGAATCCTTGCATTTCTTTGACAAAGGTTTTCCACACAAATCCGAGTTTCCTTGGTATGAATCCTTCTGAAATTTATTAAAGGGTGTGCTATCCACACACCGCATTTTACTTCTTACACATCCCTTGTTAATTTCTATCCGTTGATTTTCTTCAATTCATCCGATTTGACAACCAAAAACTACAAAAGTGCGTGAAAAGTAAAATAGGGTGTGTGAATATCACACCCCTTATTAAATTGCTAGCCAAGTGGTATAGACCCCCAAAGATGGTTATGGGATACGTTGAAATACGCAAGGAAATTGAGGTACGCCAAATTATTGGGGATACTATCTGAGAGCTGGTTTCCAGAGAGATCCAATGATTCAAGTGCTGTCAAGTTCCCAAGAGATGAGGATATGAGACCACTAAGAGTGTCGTTGAGGTTCAACAAATCAAGGCCTCTTAGTTTCCCAATGATATCTGCTAGAATCTCTCCTTCAAATCTATTGCTCGATAGATGTTACAACCCATCTATAATTTTACTATATATATATATATTTATTGAAAAATGTTAAATGATCAATATGCCCTTAGAGGGTATGTGTCAACTTTCATTAACTTAGTAGTCAGCACACGTGCAAGATATTAATTAGTATATTCTTATAGTACTCGTCATTACAAACAACTGAGTACAGACATAGCCAAAAATGAAACTTGGAACCAGGAAAATTTTACAAAACGAGTATCAATCATTTTATTCAAAGTGAGGAAAAAGATAATATCACTAGATATAAAATATTAATAATAGAATAAAATAATAATAAAATAAGAAAGAGGGAAGGGTGGAGAACCATCGAGAAAAGAAAGAAGGGAAAAAGGGAGAAGGGGAATTTGGCGTGGGAAAAAAGAGAGGGAGAGGCCATTTTCTTCTTCTTCCTCCTTTACTCACTTCACCCCTTGCAAACTATTTTCAACATAACTTCCTCATACGATAATGAATTCACACTAGGCCAGAAGCTATGCTTTCGTAGCAAAGCTGTCTTCAATCTGATACCATACCCACCCTTTGAAAACCGGTGTACAAAGAAAACGAGGCCCAAACATATTGACGTTTTCCGGCAACTTTCCTCCGATTTCGGCCAACCCCGCTGGAACCTGGCCTCGACCCAAGTGAAAATAATGATTCTTTCCCGTGGGCTCTCCTCTAGCGTAAGTTTTTCCCAAGGTGTTAACTTTCAGTTTTGGGATCAGTTCTTGATTTCGAATTTTAATTTGGTATTCTGTATGAATATTTGCGATGATACTCGTTGTATTGTTTTGGAGTTGAATCGGAACTGGGCAATAAGAATTGGTTGCATATTTAGGGAAGACCTTGAAATCCTAACCTCAATTTGGTTCTCTTTAGAAATGCAAGAGTTGGGTTTGTTTTATAAGTATTAATGTTATTCCACAATGGAGGCCAGATTTATTTGAATATTTTGTGCGCCTTATTTGTCCTACCCTTGAAGAACATTGCTGAATTTGTATGTGTTGTAGCCTAGGTTTGTGTAGATAATTAGAGTTCTAAAACTACTGAGTGGTTCTATATTTTTCCATGGCATTGTCAGATGCTGATGCTAAATACTTGATTGGACAATGCTATTACTAGAGCAGTATATGACTCTTGGTTTTGGTCATTGATTTATTGGTGGTTCTTTATTTCATTCTTTCAGCGGATGAAGAGCTTAAGACTGCTAGGAATTTATATTTTATTTTGAGGCACTTGGATAAACAGTTTGGTTTTCTATGTTAATTATTAAGAATCATTGATATGGTTTGGCTGGTGTACTAGTTACGAATAATTATTCAAATGTTATCGTTTAGGGATTGCATGTTATTCTATGGGCTGAGAACTAGTTCCTTGATATCAAACATTATACCTATTCTCTAGTTGAATATGACTATGTTCTGAATTCAAGACCAATTTAATATGGCGGGTCAAGTTCTTGTGGTTTGTTTGGCATGCTTATTTGATTAACTAGTGCAAATAAATGTTATCAAATTTAGTGAAGTTATAAATATACTGGATTCTATGTGAGGTGGTTGTTTTCAAACTATTATATGCTAAATACATAACTACTTATACAGAGAAAATGTAGGCAGCTAGTTTTATCTGCCTATATATCAAATTATACGTATCTTCCTCACTCAATTTCATTATATACTCCAATTGGATTAGTTCTAACGAACCATTTTATTTGCTATAACTAGTCCAGCTAGTTATTATTAGATTATAGTTATATTATTGCTTTTATATGTACTATTGGGTTTGTATTTTGGTATACAATTTGAAAGGGGTATGCTTATAGTAGTTGATTACAATTTATCTAAAGTATATTGGTTAGTAATGTCATGGCTGGTATAGATATCAATAGTCGACAGATCCAATGTGGTGTGATTACTATTCGATTAAGTTCTTCACCTTTACACGTATCATGTTGTTTGCTTAAATGGTAGAATGATGTCCCATTAAACATAAATATCTATACGCATGCCTATACTGAAACCAAAATCAAGTTGATGATTCACGTTCTGAAGCTATATGTATATATGTCTCATTTGCCTAGACAAGCTATACAAAGAAAACATATAGTTTTTAATAGTTATTCTGATTACATGTATGTAGTAATGTCTTGCAGTAGTCATAGGAGTTTATTGAACTGGTGAACTACGAATGGCTTGATCCCTTCTTAGGGTACGTAGGCAGTCTAACGCTAAAGTTAGATGCAGCCATAAAATAAAAGAAAATGATTGCGCGGTTAAATCGTTGATTTTGTTGTGGTCTTGTCTCGGAGGCGAGACGTGATAGATAAATAGGAATGTGGTGATGTCATGTGTCAATCTTAGACGTATGTCGGGATCAGGATGTGATAATAGATCTATAAGTCTCAGAAGATAAGGGGTCTTCAAATATTTCAACTCAACCCCTTTGGCAAGAATTGTGATCTTGTATTGATAGATATAAGTGGCATTAGTTGCGTTGGTCGAAGAGACTTCAAAATAAGTTTGATTGGTTTCATTAACAAATTTCATGAAATTCCAGTTCTCCAAGTAGTTAGAGGGCAACACACCGGAAAAAGCATTGTGAGATAGATCAATGATGCACAAGTTTGGGAACTCATGGTTAGTTGCAAGCTTCCCAATTATTTCATGAAATTCATTATGACCCAAAATGAGAGCCTTGAACGCTGGTAATTCCTCCAACTGAGTGCAACGGGCCAAAAATCTACCATCCTCAAACTATTTTTATTTGGACATAGTTGAGGAGTATCTCCGTCAAAAGAATTGTTCGGCAAGTTGAGTACTTTCAAAGAACTGGAGTTCCCCAAACACTGTGGAAGCATACCACTTAGGTGGCTGTTAGCCAAATCAAGAACTTGTAGATTCGTGCTGCAGAATAGTGGTGAGATCTCTCCATTATAATCATTGTTTGCAACATCATAAGTCATGATTGATTGGGGTGGAATTGGCAGTGAACCTTGTAACAAGTTGGACGTCATTTCAAAAAACAGCATATCCGATGCCAAATATGGTTAAGAAACGATGCCAAATATTGGGATCAAAATTACAATAGTAGATGCCAAATATGGTTAAGAAACGAAGATTTCCGATGGACATAGGCATTGGACCGGAGAAACTAGTTTCCCCAATGTCCAATTTCTTGAAGGAATTGGTCCTGTTAAAGTTAGGAAAATAACATGTTAGCTCTAAGTTCTTGTAAACATAAAGAACCTCTAAGTTTGGGAGGTGGAAAACACCAACAGGGAACTCCCAATAGAACCTACAGTTGGCAAGAAAGAGAGATGTGAGGGATGACGCATTGACAAAGTTATCAGGAAAAGTGGAGAATATTTCTACCCAACCAAGATGAAGTTGTTTTAAGTTGGTCGTGTTTTGGACTAGGCTTCTTAATTTATCATTGAATGACAAATCAAGGGAAGATAGCTTTGATAGCTTCGAAATTTCAGATGGAACTTGGCCAGAAAATAAGGAATGTGAAAGGTTGAGATAGGTTAGGCTCGTAAGGTCACGGCCTAATCTTGATGGTATTTGAGACAAACTGAAGTGGTTATCTGAGAGATCAAGCCTCTGCAAGTGCACGAGTCGGAAGAGGCTACGTTGTAGTTGATAAAACCATAGAGACAGCTACTGCCGAGTTCAAGGCCAATGACATGGCCAGACTCTTTATCGCACTCAACACCATCACACGAACAACAGTTACTCTGATGAATGATGAAGTTTCCATTTTAAAGTTGTAAAAAAATAAAAATAAAAAAAATGAAAACGGTAGTTGGAGCTCTCATCGGAGTCGGTTCCTTTCCCCACCTCTTCCATACCATCTCCCTTCTGACGCTAGGCTGAACTCATGTTCCACTAATACTTTTCCACTAATTCATATTGCTAAAATGCTAATCTACCTACCTTTGGTAAAGTCTTGAACCAAATTATACGCCCTTGACTATAACGACAAACACTAATCCCTTGAGAGTGTTAGTCCTACTGATTAATTAAGTCTTATAGTCTTGAATCATATTTTCTCGATGAATGATGAAATTTTGAAAAATGACAACTTTTTTCGTCATCGTGGGGAAGTTTCTGAGTCCATACAAGGGAAAAATAATTGAGTAGCATCGAGTAACAGGAAAATTAAACAATATACAAAAAGTAAATTTTGACCACTGCCACTCCATTACCATGGCAATTTTGTTTTATGTTTAAAGGGAAGTCTATGGCTCTCACATAAGAGAAATGCTAAGGGAAGTCGATGGCTCTTCATGAACTGTCTGCCACCTTATATTTTTAGCACAATGTTTTATAATGTTGGCACGAGAATTGATTAAACTGTGAGGTGACAGAGAGTTTATTAAAAGTCCCATTTTTGAGAGAGTCTCCTTAGCATTTTCCTCCCATAATTGTGGAGAATCAACGTCATTCATGTTAGTCGAACTTAAAATATTTTACAAGTGAAGAAAGATTTTTGAAGTAAGAAAGGCAATCTATCGATCTGTGCTCCTTGGAAGGGATGTATAAACCATTTGGATCTTATTAACCAAATAGGCGATCTATATTGAACAAAATTTGTTGAAAGTATATTTGATTTCCCCTCCTCTTGCATCTCCCTTCTAGTCGTATGCATAATGCATGGACTCTTCCATTAATTTCTTTGGTATTTATCAAGCTGAACTCATGTTCCACTCATACTGTTCCATTAATTCATATCGCTAAAATGCTAATCCATCTACCTTTGGTTTCTCCCACTTTTCAGGCTTAAAGTCTTTGTTGGAACCAAATTACACACCTTTGAGTCTTTGACTGTCACCACAAACATTCTCCTCAATAACATTAATAATTATTTACCTTTGTTTTGCACCAGTTTTAAGGCTTGAACCAAATTACACGCCTTTGACTATCATCACAAACATTCTCGTCAAAGGATTAGTGTTTGTCTCACTATTAATTAAGACTTATACTCTTGAACCATTTTTTGCTCAACTCGATGAATGATGAAATTTGAAAAATAATAACTTTTTTCGTCATCGTGGCAAAGTGTCTGTATCTATACAAAGAAAAAACAATTGAGTAACATCGAGAAATAGCAAATTTAAATAAGCTTATTTTTAACTATGCCTCCTAAAACTTTATTTTGATCTCGTTTTGCCCATTGTAACTAAAAACTTGCACTTTACTATTTGAAACTCAGAATTTGTTCCACTTTGACTTGTGGACTATTTCTTCCTTTTAAACTTATAGGATGCCTTCTAAAACATATGTGGGACCCAACACCCAATAAGTCTATGCCACATGTGCAATAAATTTGATTATAAATTTCCACTATACGTTAACATATATTCAACAATCAGACAATATTATGTTTAAAAGAAATTAAAGAGATGAAAAATATAAAAATGAAATTGATTAGCCTGGTGCACACAAATCAACCACATAAGAAATTAACAGATCCAAGACAACGTGGAGCGAATTTTGAGTTTTATGGAAACGACTTTCAAGTTTCAGGAGGTAAAATGGAATCAAAATCGAGTTCGAGGGGGCCAAAGTGGAGTGACTTTTGAATTTCAGGGAATAAAGTTGCCGCTTTTGAATTATATGAAGCAAAGTGAGATGAAATCGAGTTCCAGAGTTGTAACTAAAAATAAACCATTAAATAATGTGCCAAATAAATAAATAAAAACTTCTATCACCGCCACTCCATTATCAAGGCAATTTGGTTTATAATTAAAGGGAAGTCTATGGCTCTCCCATAATTGTAGAGAAATCAACGTCATTCATGTTAGTCGAACATGTAATCTTTTTTAAGTGAAAGAAAGATTTTCAAAGTAAGAAGGGCAATCTCACTAGGACCTATGATAATATAGTGTTTGTGCTTGAGTGGACTAAAAATTTGTATGAGCTCCTGAGGTTGTTGCAACACTCAAGGGTTTTGGGCTAAGACTGATTAAGCATGCTGAAGGAGGAATGACCAAAAGTGCATTTTCTATCCTAAAATTACAGTCTAGAGAAAGCTCAAAAGCTAGTAATTCTAAGCAGATGAAGTTTTGGAAGAACTATGATAAGAAATGTAGTTTTAAGACTAGTGACAATTTGGTGAATTGTGAAACACAATGGTAACAGGGAAGGCACAAAAAGAGGCTTGTAAAACCTGCAACAAACTGCACTTTGGTGAATATTGGTATAAGGGCAAAGCCAAGTGCAAAGCCCCGTATTAAAGTTATAATAAAAATATTGTTTGCCTTGTTTTAAGGTTGGGAAATTACCTATATTCTTGTGGGAACCAAAAATTACTTCTCCACTAAACAAGCCATTAGCATGCGAAACATGAGGAGTGGAGTTACAATCAAGCAGTATAATACCCACTCCATGGAACATGGAGAAATACAAGGAAACTGGGACTTGGAGCCCAAGAATTTTATGCCTATAAAGGACCTAGAATCCCACTAGAATGAGGGAAAAAAGGAGGTATGAGATCGTTCTATGTTTTACAAACATATTGAACAAACATCAACTCGAGTTTCGGAGTGTTTTCTTGCAAGTCCCTCTACTCTCATTGATGACAAGTGAAGCTAGGTACCATTTGGTACGTGGGACGGGACGGAACAGAGTGGGACAAGGCGTTCCTCCCCACGTTTGGTGCGCCTAAAACCGGTGGAACGAGCTGTTCCACGGGACGAGTTTTGGGTGAATTTTCGTTCCACCTCACCCCCTGGAACGACTCGTTCCACATCCGTGGAACACAAAATTATAACCTTTCCGTCTTCTTCCTCCTTGTTTCCATCTGAGGACATCTTTGCTCCCGCTCCGTTCCGTTCCGTCCTGTCCCGTCTGCATTCCAAACGATACCATAGTGTCTAAGATTCTCAACAAGGCTACAATATTATTGTTGGAGGAGACGAAATTTTTCGCTCCAATAGTTCGCACCGTTTGTGGGAAACGTACAAAAAGCCGTATGGAGAAGTACTAATATACACTTAAACCTAAGGGTATGATAAGAGGTATGGCTTATCATAAGTGTTATACCCTTCTATATGTCTTATCATGAATGGATAAGACCATTCATAGAAGTCTCACAACTCTTTCGAAAATGTATGATGAAATCTATAAAAGGAAATCATTCCTCTAGACAAATTATTCAACGTGAAACAAATTCTCTTCTTCCCTTTGATATGCTATTTCCTTATCGGCACTACAACATAGTAATCAATAATCTTACAACATTAAAATTAATCATGTTAAATTCTGCAACCATATATAATATTGTGTGCACCAAAAAATATGTATTAATTTTGAACGTATCTTAAGATTGGGGCGTGAGAAAAAGTGTATGTGCAAATGAAGAACAATGAATGACGTTGTCGAGGAAAAAACAAACAATACAAAGTATAGAAAACAAGTTAAATCACAAAGATTCCATGACTTTTTTTTTTCTTGATGATTAAATTGTTTTTCGCTCCCGTGTAATAAAAGGAAGAGGAACTGAACTCCATTCATAGGCACAACTCCTCATTGCTTTCTTTCGATAAGCTTAAAGCTAGGTGAGTGGTTACAAATAATGTTGATCTTTAAAGAAAAATAAAAACATTAGACCCTAAGCTATAAAATTAAAATTTTCGTTGGAGATGACTCTTATGCCAACAATTTTTTAATCTTAAATGTACCCATTCTTAAATATACCAATTTGTTATATGTAAAATGCACCCTTTTTTAATATAAAATGTACAAAATTTTTTATATAAAATGTACCCAATTTTTTAATATCTATTCAAAATTTTTTAATCCATTTTTAAACTTATATGGGTACATTCTTTTTCGTTGATTTGAGAATATATCCATGTCAAGTTTAATCGAAGAAATGTACTAATGTTATTAAGCCTAATATCTTCTTCTTTCTATATTTTGAAGAATGTACTCATGTTTTGGTACAATAAGTTTTTTGTTATTAATTTTGATAAATGTACCCATACACACACGCGCACACACACACACACAATATATAAGAGAGAGAGAGTATAATTTATATTTTATTATTTTTAATTCCACAAATTATAAATTTTATTTAAAATCTCATTAATATAAACAAATACAAATTTAAAATTTTAATTAAAAAAATATAGTAACTTACACTATTACATTAATGTCAAGAACTTCGATAAAAAACTAAAAACACACAAGGTTTCAATCAAAAAATATTGCTAGGAACCGCATCCAAAGTGTTCCTTTTTAAAAATTTTATCTATAAAATTAATCATGTTAAATCCTGCAATATATAATTAATATTGTGAGCACCCAAAAATATGTGTAAGTGCTGAATAGGATATTAGCTGACTTCGAAAGACTTCCATCGATTTGTTGGCCTGTCACTTTGAATGCATGGTTAGCTCGACAAGAACGTTTATGTTGATGATCAGTGGCTTATAATCTGGTTCACGAGACCTCATCCCGTGATTAGTGGAACAAAAGTTACTTTGTTTATGAAAGAGATAGGAGCCTCAGTGACATTTTTATTAGTAGGAGTGACAATTAATTGATTCTTATGCGTGCAAAGCTCGAGAAAATAAAATACTAAACCTAAATTGAAGGCTAAATTAATTAATATTCACGTACTATTGAATAAATTGTGTGTATATATTGTAAATCCTACTACATGGAAGAACTTCAACTGATGTAATTAACATGAGATAAGTAAGTATAACGATAAATAAATTGAGGTATGGAGTATATATACACAGAATTAGAACCTGTATTAAAAAGATAAATAAGCATTGAGATGAGTCACATATGCAAACGACGACTTGACTGCAAGTCTTCAAGTGATTTTATCTGCTCAAAGTATTATGTTCACATTCTTTAAGATCAAACAAACATACATATTAAACTAAATGATCAAGTTTGTAAATTATTACATGCAAACGATGAATGACTTCTAGTCTTCAAGTGATGGGGATGGGCTGATTTTATCAAACGATGACTTGACTTCAAGTCTTGAAGCGATGGTCTGAGCAAATTGTTATATTCACGATCACCACCCATTTCTCCACCGTCTTGACTTCTTGTATGTTTAGGATCACTATTCTTTTGGATTCTTTTGTAGTCCATAGCTCCCGTAGCTCATTGAAAGAAACAACTTTGTATATACTGTCTACAAAAAATGGGACGTCGATTTCTCCACCTTTAATTATGTGAGATCCTAAGCATATTTAATCCGGACATAAAAATAAATAAAAACAAAAACATACATCATAATCTGAAAAAATAAGAGTCCTTTTGATGACCTAAATTTTTAGTTTTTAATTTTGAGAAATGAAGTCATTTAGTACTGCGATTTAGTGATATTACTCTTTAATTGTAAATGAGAGATTTTATACTCGAATTTGGTAAATAACAAATTCATACCAATTTATTGCCCTATCCTTTTGGGAAATAAGCACACACTTGTCTCTCCTATTACACACACGTCATTATATCTAATCAGTGCATTGAACAGATGAAACAAAAACAACAACTAGGATTAAACAGATGTGTGTACAGTTAGAAAACTAGAGTGTTTACAACATTCTCTTTGATTTTTAGTTTTCAATTTTCAGATTTCTTTTGAAGGACTGAATAAAGGAAATTTAATTGGTAATTGTTTTCAGCTTTCAACAGTGAACTAGTATTTATCAGAAACTATCTTTCCGCTGATTATCTAATGTGGACTTTGTGGTGTCTTGTTTATTGATTTTCCCATCATGTTTTGATGTTCCAAATGTTAGCATGTTTCTAGTGGATTCTCAAGATCAGGGCGTGGCACTAATTCTCCAATTTTTTGAGCGGATTGATTGCATTTGATAAGTTTCTTTAATGAGTAATCTATATTCTACCTTCAAGAGTTACATGTTCCAATTCGATCCTAGACAAAGAGGCTTTAGTGAAAAATAAAGAAAAAAGAGTGCAAAATGATACTTTTTTTAACGCTTATAACGATTTTCAAAAGTTAGAAAATAAATTTGTCGAATTTTTAATACCCTTGTCCTTAATCGCTTGACTTCAATTGAGGTTGCCTAATAAATACGCAAAGCTTTCCTATAGTAGCTAGGCTAGCTAGAGCCGTTGCAATTCATCAATTCATCACTAATCAATCGACTAATCAATTCATGACTTCCAAGTCTTCAATTGATTGAGACATCAATTCATCACCCACTAATGAATCGACTCATGCTTTTTTATTTATTTATGCTTTGCATGAGTTGTGTCTATAAAAGGAGTTAACTTCTCTACTCTTAATTATATGAGAGCCATAAAACTATATTTCCTATAACCAGAAACACACTACCATGAAAATGGAATCTTTGTTGTCCAAATTTACCTGTTTGCATTGTCTTCTTTTGCTATTACTCAATGCTACTCACTGTTTTTCATATGTGCAGACTCAGGCACAGACACTTTGCCATTCTGACGAGCATTCCTTCTTGTTACAATTCAAGGAAAGCTTTACGATAGACAAGTCAGCTTCTGGATCTCCTTTTGCTTATCCGAAGGTAGCATCTTGGGCTCGAGAAGGAGATCAAAATCAGAGTAACTGTTGTTCGTGGGATGGTGTTAAGTGCCATGCAGAGTCTGGCCGTGTCATTGGCCTTGACCTCAAGAGCAGCTGTCTCTATGGTTCTATCAATTCCAACAGCACCCTCTTCCGACTTGTTCACTTGCAGATGCTTGACCTCTCAGATAACAACTTCAATTCATCTGAAATACCATCGAGATTGGGCCATGACCTTTCGAGTCTATCCTATCTCAACCTTTCACTGTCTGCATTTTCTGGCCAAATTCCATCTGAAATTTCAAAGCTATCCAAACTGTCTACCCTTGATCTATCTCAAAATAATGGTTTGGAGCTTAGGAAGTCCAACATGAGAATCCTAGTCCAAAACTTGACCAACATAAAACAACTTCATCTTAGTGATGTAGGGATATACTCCACTGTGCCTGATATCTGGGTCAATGCATCTTCTCTCACATCTCTCCATCTAAGCTACTGTGGGTTGTATGGGGAATTCCCAGTAGGCATTTTCCACCTACCAAACCTAGAGAAGCTTAGTTTATACTCGAACACAAAGCTAAATGGTTATTTTCCCACTTTTAACAGAACCAATTCCCTCAAAACATTGGATGTTTCAAGGACAAATTTCTCCGGTGAACTTCCTAGTTCTATCGGAAACCTTCATTCCTTAAATTACTTTGATATCTCAAACTGTGGTTTTGATTCCCATGTTCCATTTTCTTTTGAAAACCTTACCCAGCTTAGTTTCCTTGAGATGACTTCATTTCATGACTGTTTCCGCAGGCCAATTCTTAGTCCCTGATTCCTTGTCGTGTTTTGGAAAATTAACCAAGCTCAACTACTTGGGTCTTTCGGATAATAACTTGCAGGGAAATTTCCCACGTTTTGTGGCTAACCTGACCCAACTCGCGTTCCTATATTTGTCTAACAATTCATTAACTGGTGAAATCCCTAAATCGCTTTTCCACCTCAGAAATCTTGAACGTCTGAACCTCGCCTCCAACGATTTGCAAGGAGAATTTCCTAAGTCGCTTTTCCACCTCAGAAATCTTGAACTTCTTGGCCTTTCCGGTAATAATTTGAGTGGAGTAGTTGAGTTTGATGAGTTTTCCAACCTCAAAAAGTTGAAGGCACTTGGTTTATCAGGCAACAGGTTATCTGTGCGTGTCAAATCTGGTTCGAGTGCTACTCTTCCAAAGTTCGAAATTCTAAAGTTGGCTGAATACAACTTGACAGAGTTTCCAGAATTTTTGAAAAATCAATATGAATTGGGAGCCCTAAGCCTTTATAGTAACAACATTCATGGCCAAATACCAAAATGGCTTTGGAATGCAACTAGAGAAACTTTGGTCAATCTCAACCTCGGCTCTAACTTCTTAACAGGCTTTGAGGAGAATCCAATCACTCTTCCATGGAAAAATCTACAACTGTTTCATCTTTCTAATAATCAGTTACAAGGGTCATTGCCAATTCCATCACAATCTATCACAATTTACCTGGTTAACGACAATAATTATAGTGGAGAAGTTTCACCATTGTTCTGCAACTTAAATTATCTTCAAGTTCTTGATTTGAGCAACAACAACCTGAGTGGCATGCTTCCACAGTGTTTGGGGAAGTCCAGTAGCTTGGAAATACTGCATTTGATGTTTAATTCTTTCCACGGTGATATTCCTCCATTTTGTGCTAACAAAAATAGTTTGAAATTTGTTGGGTTGGGTTACAATCAGTTATAGGGGATGCTACCAAGATCAATGGCCGATTGCATTCAGTTAGAGTTTCTTCACATTGGCAACAATCAGATCAGTGACATCTTCCCTTCTTGGTTAGGGGTACTTCCAGTATTGAGGGGTCTCATTTTTGGGTCGAACGCATTTCATGGGATAATTGGGAAGCCTTCAACTGGTCATGAGTTCCCAAACTTATGCATCATTGATTTATCCAACAATCTATTTTCAGGAATGTTGCCTTCTAAGTACATGGAGAACTGGAATTTCATGAAATATGTTGTTGCAAACGAGGGAAGCCGGTACTTTGAAGTCTCATCGAACGACAACACAAATAAATATGGATATTACCTTCAATTTTCATACGAGATGATAATTCATGTAAAAGGTGTTAAGTTGACATATGATCAGACCCCCTATGATCTGAGACTCATAGATTTCTCAAGTAATAGATTTGAAGGAGAGATTCCAGCAAGTATCATTGGGAGTTTAAGAGCACTTCAGTTGCTAAACCTCTCCAACAACACTCTCTCTGGTCAAATCCCCTCATCTCTGGCGAGCTTGACTGCTCTTGAATCGTTGGATCTCTCTCAAAACAAGCTCTCAGGAATGATCCCTGGTAGTTTGGCACAACTCACTTTCCTTGGGTACTTCAACGTGTCGTATAACCATCTTTGGGGGCCTATACCACTTGGCCAACAATTTGGTACATTCCTAGAAGATTCATACCAAGGAAACTCAGGTCTGTGTGGAGAGCTTTTGTCCAAGAAATGCGAGCCTTCTGAGAGCTCGAGGCGACCGCCACGATCAAGCTTTGAAGAAGATGAAGAGGCTGGATTTCCATTTGAGTTTGACTGGTATGTAGTCTTGCCAGGAGTTGTTAGCGGACTAATAGTGGGAGTGGTTACTGGAAACACATTGGCAGACAAGAAGCATGAATGGTTTGTGGAGACATTCAGCAGGAGGAGAAAGCCAACAACCGCAAGGGCGACGAGGAGATGCCGACCTTAGCTTGATGTGTCTATCGACTAGAGAAATGTTTGGGCCTTCAAGGCCAATGTCATGTTTTTTATGATTTCTGGTGCTTCAGCATATGTTGTTATGTTATAGTACAATAATGGGGTTCCATAAGTTTGCTTTGTATAATATTTCTACTTGATCAAATTCAGTGTTATCAACTAAGTAGTTGGAATTACGTTTCCTGTTTCCATTTGCTTCTAGGTCAAAACTAGCAAAAGTATCGTGCTCTGCTGTGGGTTTTAAATTCGTAGTTTATAGCAAATATGAATCATTTCCCTAATAAAGAGAAAGTTTGAATAACAAGTACATAATAAGCAATTGATACTCAAAAGCTACCAACAGCTTAACTGCATTCATAATCACATACATCACTATACACATAATAGATACTTCTGAAAATTCCATAAAATCACAAATCAACCCATTCATTTCTAAAATAACTCTTTAAGTTACATTACATTTTATTTACTTTGCATTCAAAGCATAAGTGCAATCCAAATGGGAGATTTCTAAGTTACAGTTATATACATTTCCAAAAGTTTCCCACATTGATTAGTCGTTCATTCTGCACCTGCATTTTACTAATTCTACGTTAAGAGTTCTATATACAACTCAGAAAAGCAGATTTTAACAACTACAAGGAGTGACAGTAACACTGCATGACGGTCTTATGATAAAAAATGATAAACAACATACTAAACAGAAGTGATGTTTTAAATCTGGAATGAATGCATACCTGAAGAGCTGATTTCAAATTGGCGATCCCTTTCCCATCCTGGTAACATTTCAAAATCCAAATCAGAAAATAAAACAAAATTGAATGAACTATGAAGACAATTTATTCTCCAACAGAAAACTCAGCGCTACACAAAATCATTGAATTGGAATGAAACTAATGAGAATAAATTGAACAAAACCTAACTCAATTGAAGCTATTCTCTTAAAATCTTCCGAATCAAATTAATAAAACAAAAATAAAAACTTTATAAAGTTAGAGATCATAAGAAAGCATATTAAAGCAAGCAAAAAGAGACGGAGACAGAGCATCAACTAACAGCAGATTTCCTCCAGACTTGCTTAAGAAGTTGAGTACAGATCTGTCTTCTAATGCAAAACCATAAAGTGAGTTGTAATCTAAAGGCTCCTACCTTAAAATTAGACGTATTTATCAAATATATCATTTAATAATCCTCACACATGTAATTATCCTAAATAATCAAATGCGAAACATATATCATAATCTTCGGTTGAGAAAGTCAGTTTGTTTTACGGGGTTTTCACTATTTTCAAAATCAATATCAAATTTTGTAAGGATGAGAAAAGAATTTACCTTTGGGAAAGTCTGAACGGTTGCGGCGGTTGGTAGAATCGAAGAGATTTTAGCAGATGAGGCGAGGAGGAAAACGGGGAGAGTAGAGGCAAGCAGCGCGGTGAGCGTTTTAGCGGTGAGAAAAACAATGTGGGAACTAGGAAGTATCTAGAGAAACGGTGGGTTTACAAATTGGAAAGATTTTTTAACATGCCCAGAACACACGATGTGAGTCGTTATATGTTTTTATATAAATAGTAAGATTTTTGTATTAAAAAATTAATAATATAAAAAATAAAATTTTCATCGCTTATATAATAACATTTATTGTACTACTTGTGTTCTGAACAACGGAAAATTTCTCGACAAGTTGAAGAGGCATGGCCTTTTTGGCCATCTTACAATGTAGCTAAAAAAAATAGCACTGAAAAATGATAGTGAAACAGGGGCTTTTTTGTCCTTCACTGTACTTAGAAACTGTGTTTATTTTCCTTATTGAGCTTTAGTATAGATAATTTATTACGGCTTTTCACGTGTAAATTCTTCGTAAGACCAACCTCAGTTTTTGGATCCAAATTCAAATTTTTTTTAGTACATTGATATTTTACACTAGGGGGAGGGGGAGTTCGGCTATGCCACATAATGAGCAACCTAATTTGGTATCGAATTCACCATCCACGAAATTCGAACTTAAGACCTCTCACTTTCAAGTGAAAAGGAATATTAGATCATAGTACTGAGGCCCCAAACTCAAATATTTAAGTTTACTAAAAAACAAAATTTAAGTCTATAAACAGTGAATGTTACTCAAGACCTAAATTTCATGACTTAAAATATTACTTTAATCTAAAGAAGACTTTTCAATTGCACTGTACAAACGAACAGTCGTTCGACTCGAATTTGACTTTATTTACGAGGCTGCCACTGACTGTCTCTGCCGCTGATCTTCATGCAGCGTGTTGATGATCGTGGAAAGGCAAGGGTGCGATGGTCATTTTAATATGTAGGGTTTCGAACGGGTTGGGTGTGTAGAGACTTTCATTTCCTTTCTTTCTGAGCTGCAGTGGGACTCAGGTGAGAGCATGCCGTCGGGAGAGAGAGAGCAAGCGAGCGAGCGAGCAGAGAGAGAAGAGAGACAGGGAGGGAGAGAGATAGGGATTTGGTGAGAGGAAGGCATGCGGCTTGCAGGCAGACAGTCACAGGGGGTGTACGATTCGAGGGAGAGAAAGGGGTTGGTTTCGAAAGCTCTACCTAGGGTTGTTTCAAATCTTTTGTGCTTTAGGATTAGGTTTCCAGACTCTATTCATATCATGCAGCTTCAGATTCGAAATTGTGATTTTGGTTGGCAAGAATTCTAGGGTTTGTGACGTTTGTGAGGTTTACACATTTCAAATCTCCTTTTGTCTTCGAATTCTCTCTAATTTATTGCTATGTGATGTAACTCTTATTCTGTGTATTTTACTGATCAATCGAACATGCAAAGGTAGTGATTGAAGCCTTTTGTTGCTGGTTTCCCTTCGATTCAAAGGGTAAGCTTTCTTTCAATTCCTAAGTTACTGTTCGAATAAACCTAGGTTTTAACTGTTCATGATTTTTGCTAAGAAATTAGGGTTTCTTGCATTGTATTTTTTTGTCGCTCTCTTGGTCTCTTTGCGTCTCGAGAACCTAATTGCAGGTTCCTTTTCCATCTTCAATCTTTGCTTCTTCGTTTTTTTGTTATGCTGCTTTTCTATTTCCAAGTTCTTATTTGTTTTAATAAGCTTTAATTACGTTTGATTAGCTTTAATTATATTTGATTTAGAGTATGTCTATGCTTTGAAGCTCTGACATTTCCAGGCTGTGATTTGGTTTAAGGTTTTGTGCTTGGCTTTTGCTTCTGTGAATAAAGAAATTTAAGTGTTTTCTCAATTTAAGTGTTTTTCTCAATTTAATAAGTGTTTTTCTCAATTTGTTTTGTTCTGTGCATTTCAATTTAATTGTTTTTCTCAAATTTTTTCGTAATTTGTTTTTCTCAGTTTCGGTGATTTGAACACCTAAATCATGTTCTGTTTTTTATCATGTTGATTCAAAGAATGGCCCTTTCTCCTGCCAATCATTTGAACCTAAATGATTAAAAACAGTTCACATTTGCTTCCATTTCCAAGTTGTCATTTGGTTTAAGGTTTTGTAATTTGCTTTGCTTCTTTCAATGTTTTTGTCAATTTGCATTTTATTTGCATATTCCAGCAAAGATAGATATTTTTTGGCCAGCCAAAAGCATAAAATGTCAAGATCAAGGTGTTAAGATCATTGTGGGGGCATGAAGTTCTTAGCCTTGACTTAAGGTGTTATTTGTTTTGTAGGTGCAATTTTGTCCAAGATCAAGGAGGAAGAAATTTACATCCACAAATTGGTGCTTTCATTGAGAGTTGAGTCCCACACTCGAAGAAGACTCTCACATCCAAGGTTTTCTATTTTCTTGTCCATTTGTAGATTTTTCGTACGTTCTTATTTTTAGAATTTTTTATTTGCAAAAATTCTTTGGTAAAACGTAAAAGAAAAGTAAAATGGTTAGAAATTTGGAAACTTCAACAAAAGAAAATTCCAATATTCAGGAGATGGGACCACGGCGATCCACGAGGCTAAACGTGACAATAAGTGGTGCGGCACCACCATGGCAATACCATCTTGGTGGCCACCACGGTAACCACCCACGGCGAGGTCCATGGCACCACCACCACAGCCTAAGTCGTGTCATCCAAGCTTGCCATGCCATCTAAAGCCCACGGCGCCAAGGCCACGATCCAAACCGTGTCACTCCAAGCTTAAGGCAAATTAGCCTATGCTGCCCAAATCCAACACAACCCCAATGCGTTGTCGAGCCGAGCAGCCCACTCCCGTGGCCCAACCTGCTCTCGCTGAGCAACCCAGCCTGCTTCCGTGGCCTTCACTTTGGTATCAGAGGTTCTTGGTCCAAAGCCCCCCTCCCCCAAATTCATCGTGGGCGCGTGAGGCTCTTGGCTTTAACCTAAGGTGTTATTTGTTTTGTAGGTACAATTTTGTCCAAGATCAAGGAGGAAGAAATTTGCATCCACAATACTAGCTCTCCATGCATTAGAAATCTGACGTTGTTGATCTTGAGTTTTGATTACCCAGTTCATCATCATTTTCTTCATCTTTAGTTTCATCATCTTCTTGTTCAATTGGAAATTCATCAAAACGACACTCCTTGCGAAGAAAGTTGTGCAACCCTACACAAGCTAACACTAACTCTGCATGTGTTTTAATTGGAAAAGGAGGCTCAGACTTAAAAATTGTGAATCGAGATTTAAATACACCAAATATCATCTCCACTACGTTTCTCAAGGAAGCATGTCGAAGGTTGAACAACTCATTGGCATTTATGGGGTCACGATCGTTACCAGTAAAATCTTGGAGACGATATTGAACACCTCGAAACAGATCTAAAAATTGGTGACGGTTTGCAAATCCACAATCCACAAGAAAAAATTTACCTAAAATTAAAATACACAAAATTATTATTTATTGTACGTCCTAGTGTGGATAAATAATGTCCATTAAAACAAAGTGTTAAAATGTCAAAAATAACCTTAAAATGTCCAAAATAATCTTGAAGGTGATCGCGTGGGTAGTTGAAATATCTGAAATAACTTTGAAATATCCAAAGTAACCTTGGATGGAA